AAAGAAAGAAAGAAAGAAAGAAAGAAAGAAAGAAAGAAAGAAAGAAAGAAAGAAAGAAAGAAAGAAAGAAAGAAAGAAAGAAAGAAAGAAAGAAAGAAAGAAAGAAAGAAAGCATGTCCCTGAAGATGTCCACAGGCAGCACTGGCAAAATTGCTTGGTGATCCCTGCAGCTAATCCTCAGCTGGTGCTTTTGGCTCCTTCCTAGCTGCCTGATACACTCAGCCACACATCAGTCTTGCCTTCCTCAATCTTCAAGCCCAAAGGAAATTGAGTGTTGACACTGAGTCAATAAAAAATGTACAAAAATACATTCCAATACCGAGATAACTTTACAATAGGAAATGGAAGAGGAAATGCCAGCCTCTATCCTTATAACTGGTCAGACCAGGAAATATCATGATGCAAACATGGAGCCAGTACAGGATCCATTCTGGGCTGAAAAGGTGACCAAAAACCACGGACAAGAGAAAGGGACTTAGGATTTAGACCACAGTGGCCGACATGCATGCGCAGAGATTCCCGGATTCTAGAGTAGTTGGTCCTCTGCATGGATATGACTCCCAAGATGTCGTAAAGCTTTTATTCGGTCTTCGATGCCTTATTCCGGTATAAAAGCCAAGTGGCAACCCAGATGGACCATGACTCAGCTCGCCCAGGGTAGTGGGGAGATAACTGGCCCTACAGGTGGTTCCACTACCTTCCCCAGCCCAGGATCCAGCAGTGGCTCTCCAAGGCCGAGCACTTGCCTCCCTGTCTGACAAGTATGATAGGGATCCTGTGGACTCGTAACGGTATGTGGGAATGACCTTGGGAGACAGGAGGAAGAGCCACAGCTTAGACAACAGTCTGATAAAGCGAAATCTGAGTCTGAAGTAGGGACGGGGGTAGAGAAAGCATCTCAGAAGGGACCTTCCCTAGTTCTCTGGAAAGTAAAGGTGAGGGAGGGGAAGTGCTTTCAGACTTCCAAGACTGACGTCAGCCCTTTGAGGTAGTCCAGACAAGAAGCACCAACCATGAGTATCAACGCTACCTTTATTGTAAGGTTACAATAACAGAATCTTGCAAGTCTGAAAGTACCTTTCCCCTCCCTTACTTTTAGTCTTCCGAAAACTCGACCAAATCTAGGACATTCGGTCCAATTCTGGGCACCACATTTTAGAAGGACACTGACAAACTGGAGTGTGTCCAGAGGAGAGTGATTAAGACAAGCAGGCGCCTGGAAGAGAAAGCTTATGAGAATCAGTTGGAGACCCTGGGCATGTTTAGCTTGGAGAAGAGAAATATAAGGGAGACCTGATAGCCATCTTCAAGTACCTTAAGGCTGTCACAGAGAAGAAGCGGCAAAATTGTTCAGAGTTATTCCAGATGATAGGGCAAAAAACTCAGGGTTTAAATTACAGGGAAGTAAATTTTCTTTGGACACCAGAAACACTTCCTAACTTTAAGAGCTGTTCAACAGTGTTCACTCAGGAAGTGATGGACTCTCCTTCGCCAGACTGGTGTAAACAGAAATGGGGTAGCCATCTCTTAGGGGTGCTGCTCTGGGCAGAGGATTAGACAACACAGTCTCCAAGATCCTTTTCCACCTTTACATTCTATTACTCCTGCCATTGCGTGAGCTTTTAGTTGTTTATTTACAACACCTGTATACTGCTCCCATCACAAAATCTACAAGTGGTTTACAAGGCAATCTGGATCAAGAAGTGCCTACAAGAAATCAGGACCTGCCCTGTGGGTCTTTTTTAAATTATTACCTAGAGCAACCTTTACACTACTTTATACTACTGTGAGAACGCTAAAGAGGGACTCCTGAAGATTCACCCCTTTAAAACTCCCCTTGAAGATGGTGATCTGCCATTAGATGGCCTGTGGAGGAACTCTGGTGCCCATGGTGCAGCTGAGACCTGGAATGCTGCCACACCAGGCCTACGTGGCCACTGAATGCCAAAACTGCCTAAAAGCCCCTGCATAACCTCCATGACCAAGGGAAGCGATTCAAGGGAACTCTGCTGAATGTTGATGAGACTTGCAAAAGCCCCTCCCAAAGGGTCAGCTCTCTCTGACCCTGGCAGGGAGAAGGGTCAGCTGTGGTCAGGAGCACTGGCCTTCCTCACTAAGCAGCTGTCAGGAAGAGAAGAGAAATAGTGAGCATTTCTTGTTTGCTCTGGGGCTGAGTGAACATTGGCATTATTGCAACTTGGTGAAGCTTGTCCAGCCTTGTCTTCCAGCAGGAAGTATGCCGCTTCCCAAAGCATCAACTATGGCTGTATCGTCAAGAGTGAACAGCACTAAGCAACCGTGCAGTGTGCACTGCTTGACCCATACAGACCCATCCTTCCCTGCAGCTTCACTGATTCTTGTCTCTCATCGGTCTGAAAAAGTTCTGATTCTGGAGTTAGTTAGAACTCTTCCCAGAAAGGGCACCCAGTCTTTACGGGAAAGGGCAAAAGGAGTAACTGATCCAGGTTCAGGCCAACACTCAACCACGGAGCTCACTCAGTGGCTCTGGATAGCCTGTGTTCTCTTGACTCAACCTTCCTTACAGCAGCGTTGTTGAAGGGATAAAATTAGGGAAACCCTATCTACACCATCTGGAGTTTTCAGAGAAAATACAGCATTAAATACAACAAAGACATGGTAATAAATAATCTGAATTGTTCATACCCTACCTTGAATATGATGACCATTTCTGGCCACCCCACTCTGGGAAGGATTTGGACAAAGTCTTAGAAAATGTTAACAAGGATGATCAGGGGACTATAAACTGGGAAAAGAGACTGTAGGGTTTGCAGATGAGAACTGAGAGGACCTAGGGTAGCCCTCTCAACTCCCTGAAAGACTGTTGCACAGAGGAAAATCAAAATCTGGCGTCTCTTGTTCCAGAGTGCAGGACATGGAATAAAGGATTTAAGGTTCAGGAAGGCAGATTCTGAGGGAATGTTAGGAAAAACTTCCTAAAAGGGAAATCAGTGGCCCAGAGAGGCAGTGGGCTCCCCTTCAATGGATGTGTTCAAGAGGAGGCTGGACAGCCATCTCTCAGGGATGCCTGAACTGGGATTTCTACACTGACCAGGAGCCTGGACTCAAGGACCTCTTTTCTCAACTCTAGGGTTCTATGAAATAAAGCCAGCCCCTAAGTCAGGAGCATCCACAGGAGTGGGCACTCATTTCCAAGTGGCAGCATGACCAGCCAATCCAAGCCCTGCCCCCTTTAAACACGGGTGCAGCTTCAAGCACCAGTTGTGCCCCCCATTCTGAAGCCAGTGGTCATTGCCTCTGCTCTAAGTTAATCATATTTTGTGTGATACCACGGCCTCTCTATTCCTGAACATCTACCCCAGGTTCTAGTACGATGAGAGGAAGAAAAACTTTTCCTTATTTACTTTCCGCACCCACACAAAACATTTATGAACTGCTGCCATGCCTATCTTTAATCTTGATTTGTCAGCCTTCCCAGGTAAGCCAGACAAGAAACACGACTAGATGAGTTAATTCTACTTTATTGTAAGGCTACATTAACAGAAACTTGCAAGTCTGAAAGCACAATCCTCCTGCCATCTCTTTTTACAGCCTGATAAGTCAGGGAGGATCCTTTCTGTGTTTCTTTCTCTTCCCGTTAAGTAGCTGCAGGCTCTCCCCCCATTTATCTGATTGTTCCCTAGGCAGCATCTCCCCACCCCAGTCTCCCAAGGTCATTCCCACATACCATTACATGACCTTCTCTATCCGCTCTAGGTAATCCCCCTCAAAACCTTTCAGAAATGTCAATTGGTGCAGAACACCTGTCAGCCCTATAAGGCACACCAGGCCAAGAAACCAGTGCCACGCGGGTCAGGGCTACTTTTGTTGGAACAGCCCCAGGGACAGAACCTTCTAGGTCTGAATGTGCTTCCCCTGCCCCTCACATTTCTTTGTGTAAACCAAGGAGGGGCCTGTCTGAGGCGTTTGCTCAATCTAGCTCCTTGGAACGGGCCCAAGCCCTGCTTGTCTGATCATGGCCTTGGGAGAAGCTCTTCCTCCTACATCACCTCAGCTGGACTCTTGAAGCCAACATGCGGCATACCCGAACCTCTCAAGTTGCCCAAGTTGGCTGTCGCTTCACTTCCAGTCAATGCAGGTGCTGGTGGGCATTTGTCAAACCCTAAGCAGGCCCACACCTGAAGCCCCACATTGTCCCCCGTCAGAATGTAACAAGAACGAACATCTAGAAACTCCTGAAAGCTTCTATCCTTCACCGAACCTCTGATTGTGCGGGGGGCCTTTTTCTTCATCAAAATTACCTTTGGTTTTTGTGTTTATTGAAAAAAACTACTCAGAATATTCAAAATACATCAATCATCCTAGCAAAGAATTTGTCTTTCCTGGTTACTCCAGCAGTGATTCTGCAGTGGCAAGACACTAACATAGCAATGATTAATCCACACTCACCCCTTTGTCACCTCTTGCTTTAGAATTAAATTTCACAGTCTTTAAACGAGCTCGTTCCTTCTTCTCCACTCTGCAAGAAAAATGCAGGAGAAAACTTATTAATATACCACTGGAACATCGGCAGCCGTGAACTTTTTCTTACTGGACCTTATTTGGAACAGAACCTCCATGTGTTTCTATGAGCACTCTGGCCATGAGATCAACTGCTAGAATTAGGCACAGCCAAAGCCACCAGAACTAGGCACAGCTTTTATCACAGAAGACAGATTTCTATAACTGATCTCTCTCCCCACTCAGTATTTGCATAATGGACCATAAAATAATTGAGAATCAAGTAGCAGTTCACAAATCTATCTGCCAGAAACATTATTTTGTGCAATAAGGGTGGCAAAATGTATATATTCATTTATTTGGTTTAGGCATTGCCCAACTCCAGACCAACTCTGGACTGCTCACAGAATAGCAAAACAAGGTAAAAAATACAATACACAATAAATGATGAACCAAAGGGGAACTCCGGCCAAATACTGAAAACATGTTCCAAACACGTCCAGCAAGGGCTCCGTCCCCCCAGCCCAAGGCCTGGGAGAACAGCCAGGTCTTTAAGGCCTTCTGGAACCCTGTCAGGATGGGAGCTGGACTCTGGTTGTGCAAGTGTAGCTTTGCCTGGTTAGCAGAAGAGAGTTCAATCCTTTAATCTTAATGAAATGGACAGGGTCCACCTGTGTTTTAGATCTGCATCCCCCCTAGCTGGTCAGAGCCTCTCAGGGGTTACGCAGGGCTGGATCCATGCAGTGGTGAAAGTGTCTTTGAGGGAAAGGGTAGTTCTGCCAGTTCAGAAAGAGGCAGGAGTTCATCCTTTCCTTAGGAAGCCAGTGCTGGATCCATCACAACTGTACAATTTGCATTCAATCTCCAAACCTCCCTTTTTAGGGAAGATGGTTGAGAAGGTTATTAGTCTTCAGCTCCCTTGAATCCTGGAGGAAGCAGATTATCTGGACCCTTTTTGGCCGGAATCAGACTTGGTTACAGCAATGAGACAGCACCGGTCACACTTACTGATGATCTCTAGCAGATTCAGAATTGGGGTAGTGAATCCATTCTGGCCCTCCTTGATCTCTCAGCAGTTTTTGATACCTTCGACCATGGTACCCTTCTAGACCAACTTGGGGGTTGGGAGTAGGGGACACCATTCTGCAGTGGTTCCCCTTCTTTTGAGACTGATTCAAGTTGGGGGGAGGTCCAGTACTAGACCCCTACTTTGTGCGGTGCCTCAAGGTTCTACTCTCTTTCCACTACTGTTCAATATCTACATGAAACCACTGCGTAAGATCATCTGTCAACATGGGGTGAAGCACCATCACTATGCTGATGATACTCAGTTATACATTTCTGCCCTGGGCCAAACAAGTGATGTTGTCAGGCTCTGTGGGGTCTGGATGGGGAGAAACAGGCTTCATCCATCTCAACCCAATCCAGACTGAGTAGCTGTGGGTTCTGTGCCCCCCTGAAGCTGGAGATTTTTTATTTTTGACCCTGAGTTCAATAACACATCCCCAGACGGAACTGATATGCAATTTGAAGGTCCTTTTGAACCCATAGCTCCTGCTCGAAGAACAGGTGGCAGCTGTGGCCAGATATGCTTTGCACAAATCCATCTTGTGTGCCAACTGCAATATTCTTAGACTGAGAGACCCTCCTCGAGTCACTCACGCCTTTGTCAGTTTGGCAATGCACCCTACCTGAGGCTGTCCTTGAAGAGCATTCTGAAACTGCAGCTGGTCCAGAATGTGGCAGCCCAGGTGCTTTTGTGAGCCCTGCAGCAGACCCACGTAACACCTTTGCTCTGCGAACTGCACTGGCTCCTACTAGTCTTCTGGGTGCATTTCTAGGGGCCGGTTATCCCCTATAAAACTCTAAATGGCACAAGGCCAAAGTATTTTGGGGACTACCTATCTCTGATTGTGTCTGCTGACCTCAACAGATCCAGCAGAGTGAACATGTTCCAGGTCCCCTGCTGGAGCCAGGAGATATGCTTTCTCTGTTGTGGTGCCTGCCCCTGGGACAGCATTCCCCCTGAGCTTCAGATGGCCCCTAACCCTTGTTACTCTTTGGGAAGTCTTAAAAACCCCGGCTCTTCCCCAGGTGCTGGAACTGGGATGCTAGATGAGCCAAACCTGTGCAGCTTGAAGAAGAAATGTTTTTAGTGGGCTCTGGCACATGGCACATTGTCTATTTTTGTACTGTTTTTTAATATGTTGTTAGCCACCCGAAGTCCTCAGAGTCCTGAGAACAAGATGGGTGGCCATATAAACGGTAGGTAGGTAGGTAGGGCAGCCCTAAACTTTCTGCAAAGCTCATCCCTCCACCTCCAGATTCCAACCCTCCTTGTAGCCTCAGTTAAGGCCTGTGGGGGAGTGGGAAGGGCGCTCCTGCTGCTTCTGGTCTCCTCCAAAACAGCAACATGTACAAGTTACAGAAATCTTTGTTTCTGTCCCTCTGAGTTTTCCAGTGGATATGAAGAAACAAGCAGCCTGATGCCAAAGATACAAGCCAGAATCTTTGGGCCTCTAAAGTGAAGAATCAGAACGCTGGCACGGATCTGTGCATCTGTGCATTTACTGCCTTAAATAATCTCCCAGACTCCTGAGGAAACTTCAACCAAGTTAGGGCTCCCATTATCAGCAATGGAAGATACACACACACACACACACACACAATGTCTGTCTGTCTGTCTGTCTGTCTATCTATATCTCACCACATACTTTGATACTGTGGTTTATACCCCTCTTGAATCCCCACAGTTAATGTATGGGAGGGGTACACGTGCTTTGGAAAAGGGACATGGCATCATTTCTTGACCCTTAAGTCTACAGGGTTAGAGAGAGTGAGCGTGGCTGCAGCGTGAGCTAGGTCAGCTTGAAACAGCCATATCAAAGGACACATTGAACTGTTTCCTCCTACCTAAAAAAGAGACGCATCTAGCTCGCTGCACTATGCAAGAAGACAAAAAAAGGTGGAAGTATTTGAACCTTGATTTCACTATAGATAGGGCTTACATTTGATACAATTCCAGCAACTGCTATGTATTAAATGCAAGCCTTATAGTGAAATAACATTCAATCTGTTGCACCTTTTTTCCTGCCTGCATGGTGCAACAGGCTAGAGGTCTTCTCTCTTTGGGGCAGGAAAAATGACCCCTTTTTATGTTAATGGACTAGTCTGGTTTCAGCCTGCCGACCTTGCTTTCACCTGAAGTTTGGGAGAAAATCTTACAAGCAAAGGCAGACATGGTGAGGAAGGGAGGTAAGGAATAACAACCAACAGTTGGCACAGATGCTATGAGAAAGCAGCCGATCTTGAGTGGACGCCTCTCTCCCAATGGCAGGCACATTTCAAGGCACTGTGCAAGAAAGCTACCTGCGTTTGCTGGGAATAACGCCAACCTGGTCGCTCTCTCCGTCTGGCATCACCAGTCGTGCCTGCCACCATTCATCATCTGAAGCATTAATGACATGGAGGATGTTGCCAAACCGAAAGTTCAGCCCCTGGCTGGGGAGACCACTGTCTTTAGTTTTGTCATAGTCGAAGAGTGCTCTGCAGATGAAGGGGAGAAAAGTTGATTGTATGCCTAGAGAAGAGAATCAGAAGGAACTAACCAGCAATCCTGGGGGGACAAGATCTGAGGAAGATCTTTGTATCCCAAGGAAAATACAGAACTAGTTAACTGTTTTGGATTTCCCAAAATTAATATAGTGCCGGACAGAGGAGATGATTGACAGGGCTTTGACTGGGGGACAGATTTTGGCACCTAAAAAATTATAAACCCTCATACTCTTTCTGCAGTCCAAATATATTCTACTTTGCTTCTACAGTTGCATGACTCCATCTGAAATCATGTCCAGCTAAATAACCACCTGGGGCAGGAGTATAAAGCTTTCACTGATACACCTGGGATGAGAGAGAAGGAAGCCATGGCTTTCTTAAGATTGAAGATATCCACTTTCCTAAATTTCCAGTCCCCAACCATCTTCACTGCTCTTTTAATTTCTCCAAATCATTCTTAAAGGATGGTGTCCAGAATTGGATGTGGAACTTAAAGCACTTCTGTTTGAAACTGTCATTTAGATACAAATTTTGAACTAGAATTCCATCCTGAAAGAAAAACAGACTCACTTTTTCTTCACAAGCCATCTTAAGTGAAATACTGGGAGCTAACACTGCTACATGCTGGGGGCAGAGCAGGCTAAGACAGGCTGTCTTCTAAGACAACTCTCTTCTCTTAGGCTCTCTTCTAAGATAACATAAGAACAATCCTAGGGTGGATCAGAACAAGGTCCCAACTAGCCTAACACAGTATGTTACAGGCTGGTTCACACAACATGTTTAAATAGGTTAGCAGAAGAACTAGCAACAGGAAAAATCACTGCTGTACATACAAAGCTTGGCAAGAGCTAACGTGGCTGGCTTTTTTATGGCTTAGCACGTAAAGTTAACCCAGCCTGCTTAATTAGTCTATGCTTCAATGTATGGTACAACACAGAAAATGGGCCACATCCATCCCCAGGCTAAGCATGTTGTATGAACACAGACAAACTCATCCAGAACTGAGACATTTTTCCAACCAAAAGAAAGACCTGGAAGGAAGACGGGATGCTGCATCAGGAAATCAATCCAAGAACTTTCTAGCAGAGATGTTTGGATTCTTCGAACATGGGGCGTGTTATCGCAATGACAGATTCTTGGCAAGAGGAGCTGCACCTCACAAGAGCTGGGAAGAGTATGTCTGGAAAGCACCTTGCAAACCTGATCAGTGATCTGGAGGGCTTTACACTGAATCCTGAGGGGAAGGAAGAGAAGAAGCCCCAGAAAACAAGCACGATGTCAAGCCCTGGAACTGGGACTAGGAGCAATATGCAGAATACAGAGGCATCCAAGAACGAGCGCCTAAATACAGGAGGACAGAGATCAAGTTGAATGCTGCTGTGCCAAGGCACAGAGTATAGGAAACCAACAAGAAGAAGTCTTAACGCAGGAAATCAAATACAACTTAGTAGGTATTACTGAATCTGGGTGGGATGAAACTCTGAAGTGGAATGCAGTGATTGAGAAACTTATTCAAAAGTAAAGACCAGACAAAGAGAGAGCAGAAATGGCATGCTATGTGAAGGAGATACACCCATGCATTGAGATCCAGAGATCGGAGGATGAGATCCCATCGAGAGCATGTGGATAAGAATAAAAGCAAAGGGAAGCTGATATTACTGTGGGAGTGCGCTACAGACTGCTAAGCCAAGCAGAATAACTAGATAAACCCCTCATGGATCAATTACGTAACATTCAGGAAGGAGAGACACAGTAATACTGGGGACCCTCAACCTCCACTACAAAACCATGTTAGCCAAGACTGCGAGGTTCCAAAAATTCCTCAGTAGTCTGGCAGACAGTTTCATCTTTCAGAGAGTTGAAGAAGAGACAATGGGATCAGCTCTCCTAGATCTGATCCCATCCAATAGGCAAGACCTGGTTGAAGAGTTAAAACGAGTGGGAACATACGGAAATCACGAGCACATCAGGTTGGGTTTCAAGATCCCACAGAAAGGGAAACTGTATCATATATGCACACAGATTTAAAAAGACAGAAGTTTAACAACATTACAAATGTTGTAGTTAGGGCTAGGATTAGGCCTTCCCCTCCTAGTTGGTGAAAAATTCCAGTTAGGTGACAGGAAACTGGGTCAGGGCATTGATAAATGCATACTGGAGTGAGGTAGTGCTGCCATTCTCCCTGAAGATGATAGTAATATGTCCCCTTCTCATAAAGCCATCACTCAACCTAGAAATGTTGGGACAATTACCAGCAAGTCTCCAATCTTCCCTGTCCTATCAATCCCTCTGGACCACCTCCAAAGACTGGGAGTGGGGGGCACTGTGGTTGTCCTTCTTCCTAAAGGAGCAGTTCCAGTCAGTGCTGATTTGAAGTGTGGGGGGGGGACAAGCCAACATAGGGTCAGTTATCATCCGTACCCTGACAATACCCAACTTTATCTACCCAGGACAGGGAAGCGATACCATCAAAGTGCTATCCAAGCGCCTGGAGGCTGTTAAGGGCTGGACAGGGAGTAACAAGTTGAAGCTTAATCCTAGCAAGACTTCTTCTGGGTTCATAAACCATCCAATTCTAGAGAGATATCATCTCTAGTTCTATATAAAGTTGTGCTCCCCTGCACAGAACTGGCTTGTAACGTGGGGTCTCCGGGTGGGGAGGGGGCAGTGTGTAGTTCCTTGTTGTGCACTAATGACTGGAACAGCTGGCTTTACTCATGTCTCAGTTAACTCGATTAGATTATTGTAATGTGGTCTACTTGAGGCTGGGCTTGAAGACCATCAGGAAGCTACGGCTGGTCCAGAACACCTCTCTTTGAGAGCTGCACCAGTTGCCAGTTGGATTCTGTATTCAATTCAAGGTTGTGGTTGTCATCCTTAAAGCACTTCAGGGTCAGGTACTGGAATCTGAGGGACCATCTTCTCCCAGGAACACCTGCTTGGGGCTGGGATTGAGTAGAGTAAGTATGGTCTGGGTCCCTCAACTCGGGGCCTACCATATGTAGGGGCTGCAGAGGCCTGCCTTTTCACACACAGTCTACCTCCTGTGGAATAACCTGCCTCTGAACATCCAAATGCCCTTCCCTCGGGAAAACCTCAGACCTTGGGATGCGGAATGTTACGATTGTTCCTACTGGCCAGGGATGACGCTTTCAGCATTGAGCTGAACTGGTCTTTGTTGCAGAAGCCAGTAAACCTTGCAAAATAAGGTGATTACTATAAGCACATAGCAGTTGCAGTCCCATGGACAAAAACTCCCAGATCAAAGTCAGCAAGAAGGGCTGGGAACTTCTCAGAAATAAGATACTGGAGGTATAATAGCATACCAATCAAATGGGGGGCGGGGGAGGAGAGGGTACCTAGGAAACTGTTGCGGCCGTTGCGCTTTCAACCGAGTGAAGAGTTAAAGGGGAAACGTATAGACGTGCAAGCTGGCAACCCTCAGAGCTGCTCTTCTGCACCGTTCCAAAGGAGATTCCCAAACGCCACTCAGACCAGAAAGCCAAACCCGGAACCCAACTCTGTGCTCTCTATAAAGAATGGCTCTTTGGGCACAGCCCTCCCTACTCCAAATCCATATTCTCTGACTGCAGCTGCTCCTCCCGCCTCGCCCACGCACTTGGGGATGCCTCTGCAACCAAGGGCAGGCAGGGTGGCGCCTGGTACAGCTGCCCCAGGATGAGCTGCAGACCTCCTTCCTCTGTCACGTACATCCACCTTCCCTCCCTTGTGCATGTAATGCCGAGCCAGGCCACTGCAAAGCCACAACGGCCTCACCTGACATAGAGGGACCGCTTCTGGCTTGTCCGCAGAGACCCAGATCCTGAGCTGACACTGCTGCTCATCATCTGTTCTCGCAAGTCGTGTATTTTTGCTTCAAAACGGCCATATTCTGATTAAAAAAGGAAAAAAGAAGGGAAGTGCCAGTTCAGTTCCACAGATGCTGCTGCTGCTGCTGCTGAATATAAAGTTTTTGAGTGCTCCAAATCTTATGCCCATCAACAGCCTAGATTTTTGTGACAACCAAAGTCATCATCTCTGCCATTAATCTGGTGTTCCTTTAAAAATATATACCCTTTTTCCCCTAAGATTCCAAAAGCAATGTGAAACAACCCATTTATCTGTGCATGTGCATTCTCTCTTGTGCATGCACACACACACACACACACGCACACTATGACACTACAGGGCTACACAGATTTACTCCACAGATCTGGCAGAATGGAACTGTCACTGATTATCTGTCTATCTATCTCTGTATCTGATCTGTGTCCACTCCTACTCTGGTGAGCATTCAAAGCAGTTAAGAAAATTTGAAAATAAAATCATAAATTGTTAAAAACAATTAAACAACAAATTAACAGATTAAATTAAAAATAAAACAAGTGCTAAAACAATCTGTCTGGTCAGGGGCTGGGAAAGAGTATCAAGCAAAGCTTCTGCCTCCCTGTTTTGGGTCATCAAGGCGCAAGACTGTAAGCTGAGATTGAGTTTTTGGCCATGTTCACTACAAAACACTGGTTACAACACATTGTGTAATCCTTTGTCCACTGGTGTGCCCTGATCTGGAGGCTTTTTTGGGCATTGTAAATAAGATGGAGAAAATTTGTGAGAACTTGCTCTGTGGTTCCATTCACAAAGAGGAGTTTAATAGCACTGCTGGAAAACTGTGATTGAAGAATAATCTGTTTCTTTTAGTCTTTGAAATCTTGGGACATATCCTAGTTCAGCTCTTTCTAGCATGCATTTGATTTTCTAGGAATGTCACATTTTTTCCAAGCAGCCACCCATCTCAAATCGATTGCCCTGGCCCTTCCCACTCCTCCTGGATCTGGATCTCTCTCCTGAAAGCTGGACAAGGCCTCCTCCCTGCTCTCGCTCAGCACTGGTGCTAGAGATTAACCATTTCCTTTTGGGAAGGCCTCAGATGCCAGGCTGGCTTGAGAATGATGGTCTACGGTCTACCTCCCAGTAATTTAAGCCATTGCCACAACCTGGAATCCATCCCTGGGACACTCCTCTAGGAGCACTGAGGACAGCTCGTCCAAGGTCACCCTCCGGTGTTGTCACCTCTGCAACTGAGCACAGAGGCCTTGGCCACCTCTCCTGTTCGGCTCCCCACACCACTACAGTCGTAGCACTGTGAGGGACCATAGCACTATTTTGGCACACTGTGCATCTGTGTGTGTAAGGGAGTTCCCTCCATCTTGTCTACACTGATCTAGAGGGTCAGGGTGGCAACTCAATCCTTTACAGTCCAGAGGTGTCTTCTGGGAGTAGATACAACTTGTCCGTTCAACTTAGTAGGGCAAGAGGTTTGTAGAATCTGTTAGGAACAGTTTATATTCCTGTATCTTTTTTCTGTTATACTTTGTTATATCTTATTTTTAAAGCTACAGTAGCAAAAACTGTAACAAAATGTAGCAGAGTAAACGATACAGAAATATAACATTCATGTAACAAAAGGATAAGTGAAGAATCTTGAATACCAAGAGAGCCCCCAGCAAATTCTGGCCTATCTAGCTCTGGTCAAATTTTCTAGTTTTGACAAAGGCTACAACTATTGGTAATCTGCCTAACGTAGTTTACAACCACCTCTCTGAGTCCTTTGTTGTTGTTGTTCAGTCGTTAAGTGGTGTCCAACCCTTCGTGT